ATAATCACACAGGTAACAAATTCGGTGCTATATGAATTCATTGTCAAAAATGTTTTAATTTAACACGACAATATTTCTTCCAGACTAACTAATTTACTGTGGTATCCCTCCATAAAATCCATGGCAACCAATTCTTTAGAGGTCACCTTATAGTAAAAGTGTCTTCCTGTGTGTTATGTAACGTAAAAAAACCCCAGTTGTTTTGTAAATATCTTAGAGATTTTTTAACAGAAGGTTGGTGAACAAACATTATGAAGGCAAAGGAATAAAGTTAGTTGCCAAAAGTTTGCAACAGGGTACAGTTATGAGACATTCCAGAGAAAATATTAATAAGTGAAACTGTCTGCAGACTCAAAGTAACTCCAGAAGAGGTACATACAGTCTGATAGGATAATCCTGACTGGACAACTACTGTAGTAGTTATACTTTATAATGATTTTGGGGTAACAGTCGACTCATGTGGAGCAAGCCGTTTTGATCACAAAAAATAAAAACAGAACATTTCTGATTTAGAACAATAGCCTTAAATACCCTCCTGAATACAGCATCATCATCCAGTGCTTGTAGGAAGAATACAGAAGTTGGTCATTACTGCTTCATCTAGTAAAATGGACGGTATTAACATCTAGAAGTAACATCTAATGCTATTCAGAAATATAAGATGTTAAAGGCTTTAATATACTAGACTGATCTGCAGGTTCAAATTCTAATGGGACAGCCCTATAAAAACAGTGTTTAAAAAACTAGAGGTTGTGGAACATTAACTGAACTGCCCCAATATAAAATATATTGAAACTTTGCGATGTGACAAAATGTGAAAAAAATCAAAGGGATTTAAATAGGGCTGAAGCAAGTAATTGGATTAATCAGGATTAATAGATTATTGAAATAATCTTTGACTAATTTAGTAATTGATTAATCGTAAACTGGAGTGTAGAGACTCTGAAAGATGCCTTAAGCTGCCAGAGCGACCCACCTTGAGGAGCAATTATACCAAAATCGTTAAAAAAATATGTAAACATTTTACATTTAAGATTAAAAAAACTTTTTCGTCTCTTATTATGCTCTATCCAGAACTCCTAAAGTGGAAAAGTTTTACCTGGTTTAATTCAGCAAAAAGTCTTCTTTAAGTAACCAAAATTATTAATTGATGAATCGAACAAAGTGTAGAAAGATTAATCGATTTAAAATAAGTTAGTTGCAGCCATAGATTTAAATAAATGTTGGAAGCACTGCAAGTTAGGAAAATATCCACATACACATACATACGACACACATTTGACTTAATTGCATTTTTTATTATTGAATCATTTAAACAACTCGTGTATCTACCCCATAAGAGGACAAATCGCTTTAATTTAATGATAACCATAAATGTACGAGAATTCCTAACAAAATGATTGGATAAAGAATACAGCATCTCGCCATATCGGACGCACACACAGATGGTACTGTTATTGAAATCTCATATACAGATTTAATGAAGGATGTGTTTCCAAATGTGCATAAAGTTCACATTATCGTTCATTTGTCAGGGACACCAAACTCACGTTTCTGGCAAATCTTTGGAGGAGTAGCAATAAAACTGGATCCGGCTAATACTATGATGTTCAAATGAAAAATCAAAGTTGTGTTTCTGTTTGGAAATCATGTCAACACTGACATCAAGAGAAGAAAAGATGTCTGGCTAAGAGTTGCAAACCTGTTCATACAAATTAAATAACAAAGGAAGAGACAAACGTAGAAGGAAACATTTCCTGCTGTGTGACAGACTGCTGTGAGTTATTGTAGCATGCTTTGACCATAAAGTGAAACACTTTCCTGCTTTGTACTGATTCCTTTTTATTTGTCTGTACTGTAAGTGCAGTTGGATGCAAATATATATCCGCATTGAATAAATCGCACAACAAAATTAGTAAAGAACCAATGACAAAAACCGCATTCACATAAATCTATCAATAACTTACAAAGATGAGATGTTCATGTTTGCATCATACACACACAATGCTCACTCCCACACACACACACACACACATGCTGATGACACACAGATAACTGGGTGGTGACTTCAGCATGGCTCCATTCGCATGATATAAGCTCAGTCAGTGTTCGTCAGGGTACAGGGCTCCTGTCAGGTAGCCGTTGGTCCCGTTTTTGTTGGTCCCATTAGTGGCGCTGCTGTGATGCTTCTGACTGGGAGCGGGGCTGTCGTCTTCGTCAGAGCTGGACTCGATGTCACTGCGGTCATCTTTAGAAACCTGACAAACAAAACAACATCAGAAAGCAACCATGACCTAAGCTATCTAATGTACAGACATTTCTGTAAAGTAATCAACCATGGGTGTAGTTTTAATAATAATAACAACATGTATAAAGAGCACCTACAATCACTGTTTTGGGTTAAGTTTCAGTCTAATTAATGTTTTTTTCTTGAAACACTATGACATAAATATTCTCCACCATAATCTCTTTTTATGTATTTTTTATGGCAGTGGCAGTCCCTATCCTTGATCATTATTTCTCTAATTTAGCTAAGCTTCATTTCAAACATGATAAAAAAAACATAAATAGAAGTGTAAGAAATTGATTTCTTCAAATCAGTGCAACTAAGTGTTTGCCTTTCTTTATAGAACTAAATACTTAGAAGGGCAAACATGCTTGGACCTTATATTTTAAAAGTATTATAACCAGACATGACATCATCAACTATTTAATCAAATTTAAGGACACAGAATTACAGTATTTAATGAAAATAGTTTTTCACTATTTTTATTTTTTTTTTAGACTTAGACAGATTTATTTGTCATTTTGTTTACACAAGTGTAAACCAAAAAGAAATTTCGTTTAGAACAGCTCTTTGGACAAATTCATTTTTTTTTTAAAGTGCAGCCTTGAAAATAGTAAAAAAAAAAATATATATATATATAAAAACAGTAATATAAACATATGACTGTAAATGTACAGTTTTAACATTTTCAGTTTTTTTTTTTTAATAATGATAAAATATAATAAAATACAATAACCCATTTACAAAACATTCAGCAGTCTAATGGCAGTGGGGAAGCAACTGTTATGGAATCTACTGGATCTGCATCCATTATGCATGTCTGCTAAGAAAAATGTGCCACTATAACTATAAAAAATGTGTGTTTTAAGTTTTTAGAACTACTTACATGTAAAGGATTCCATTTCCCCACCTTGAAGACAGATAAAACAACATTAACACAGAATGGATTGTTATTAGTCAGCGTATAAAAAAAACAGCAGTGCTTCTGATATATAATTGTGCACTATGAGACAAAAATAATTAAAAAACTCAAAAAGTCACAGGTCTGAAAATAAGCAAGGCTGCAATAAAAAAAAATTGGTTCACTTTGTGAAAAAAATGTTTGCAGCAAAAACATTGAACTGCATGATGCAACAAGTACAACTATAATAGGATGCGGAGGAGAGGTTGAGTGCAGGTTGAGTGCATTGATTCACCTTTCCTTTGGAGATGGCTCTGCACGCTGTCTTCACTATGAGGTACGACCAGAATGAGTGAAGAAGCTGCAGTAAGACCAGAAGGAGGTTGAAGACCCACCAGGATGGATAGGGGCCCACAATCTCCCAACTCTCAAACAAAGTAGTGTTTAAAATCCTGCAGCAGCAAGAAAAGCATGTTTTACAATTGTTGTGAATGAATAATGGAAAATATATTCAAAGCTCCTTTTTTTTTTTTTTTTTTACATAAAAACACAAGATATTTGTTAAAAGAAGTAAGAAAAATCTTATTAATCTCTTTGTAGCAATAACATTTACTTATAATACATGCTTATGATTTATTTGATCATACGTGTGACTAAACAGACACTAAAGGTAAAAAGTGTGACGTATTCTAAGAGTTCGTTTTTGTTAATTGTATGAATATGCCTTATGGTTCATATAAACGCTTGTTAGAGTTACTCAGAAATTCTGAATATTATTTCAGGACAGGAGAGGAGTTTGATCTTTTTCATGCGGAAAGGTCAACCTACAGAAAAGCAGAGGTGGGTAGTTAGTTATATTTAGCTGGTTGCATTTACTCAAGTATTTTTAAGAGAGCAAAAATGTTTTTATTTTCAGAGTAATTGTACTTTGGAAAAGTGTTTCTTCTGCCTAAATTAGTTATTTTGTAAATATGTTATCTATTTCTATTCAATTTATATAACACCAGAATTTGCACATAACTGTCAGCCTGGTTACACACTTTTAAAGCAGATAATATGAGCAAAGAGTTACTCAGTACTTAAGTATGCATTTTACAAAGTACTGTTTTGCTCTTAGTTGAGATATTTGTTGGTTGCATACTCTCTACTTTTACTTGGTTAAAAAAATATTAAAATATTTCTATTCTTACTTGAGTACATTTTTTTTTCTCGATAATCTAAGGAAAACGATGTCTCAATACTGTCCAGTGTATAAACTCAATATCTATTGTTTCTTTTACATCAATTACAACACCTGTGCAAAGTGGTGTGGAGGCTATTAGATGTTTTTCCACTGAAATGTTAAGGAAAACTGGGTAGCTTTAATAGCCTAAGCTAGTTCATTTTGGTGGCCAATCAAGCACCATTATAGCAAAGTCATAAAAGGAGATTTCAGTGCTTTTGGCAAAGGGACCAGACGTCAAATATTGTTTGAAAATGAAAAGAAAAGTGTCTCCATAAAGCTTCTCTACAGAGGGAATTATAACTTGCACAACAATTTCCACTGATACTGTGGTGATTGTTGAAACACTGACTCCATCTACAGCTTATGCCTTGTGAATGCCCCCCAAACTTTGTATAGGTTTTGCTCCAAATTTTGTATGTATTTTTTCCTTCCACCTAACTTTCCACAAACAATCCTGGAAGAAACAGACAGCTTCCCTTTGCTATGACTTTTATTTTATATATATATCTGCTGGACACCTATTGAAGCAACAGTCTTTGATAGGAAATCATTTATTTTAAAAATGTGGGTTTTCATTAGCCCTAAGCCATACTCATAAAAATATAAGACAGACAGATTAACTTTTCAATTACACTTCAATTTACTGAGATGTAGAATCAACATCATTTAATTCAAAGCAGGAAATTAAAGCAAATAAATTGGGTAGATTTTCTCTTTTTCAAGCACTAACAGCTTTAGTTGGGGATCTGTGTTAATTTCATTTCTTGTTTATTCCTTGCAAACAGCCACTTGTTAGTACTCCAGATACCAAAGTCACAACAACTGTAGAAATGGGGCAATGGAAGAACTGACAAAAAATATATTATATAACCATTAAATTGCAGTGTACATTACAAAGCAAATAACAGATACAGGATGGTTTAAATACCTTAAAGCTAGCATATATCCTACAAAGGCTTTATGTAAAATAACCATTCATTTAAATGCTGTTGCAACACTACATTTAAACAGGAATCTAAACAGCCTAGATAGCATTTGGGGGATGATTAAGAGCTGCTATCACAAGGAAAAGTGGAAAAAATTAAGCTGCCTGACCCAGAATGTAAATCATGTCTACATTCATATAATGAAGTCCTGATCACACCCCTGCTGCTGCTGCTGACTGAAAAATGACTGCTGTGCATCCTTTCATGGGTTGAAATTAGATTTATGATCTTCAAATATCCCACAAACCAGCCAGCTTTAAACATTATTTTCGGGCAATGGCTGTTTGGGTTAAACAAAGAAAAAATAAGAAGATAAATACAAAAATTTAATTTCCATTTTTTTTCTTTGAAGCAAAAATTTAGTTAGAATAGCTGCAATTAAGACAAAAAAAACCCCCACAGAACTAGAAATAGCCCTCATAAATAAACCCTTGCTTAATGTTTTAATAATCACAATAATCAGTTGGGCTGGCTCCAGTGGTAGAATAAGAACCACAAAGATTTGCTTTTCATGAGCTGAACTGTTTGTCTTTCTTTGAAAGGTTAAAGCTGTAGTATCCATAGTAACTATTACTTAGCAACAAAATTCACACAGATCTGTTTAAACTGCAAACCATTGTGGATAAAGAAGAAGGAGATAAAAAAAAAGCAGTGAGATCTTGATGGCTTTGACATCCTTTTTTCAAACATGAGCCACTGAAATGTGCTAAGGAGCTTAGGCTAAACAGCATTTGAAGCCCTGTCTGCCTGTACTACTGAATTGTATGAAAATGCCTCTGCCAGAAAACACATACAGTACTTATGTCACATACAGTATCAATAATGATGCCAGCTTTGGATCATAGAGAAAATGACTAACACTTACCAGATGGGGTAAACTCCCAGCCTGGAAGTTATGAAGAAAATTGCGAACATTGCAAAGAGGAGGTTGCACAGTATCTGACATTTGGCATAGTTGGCCATCTTGGCAGCCTGGTTGACAAAAAACAAACAAAACAAAAAATAAAATAAATAAAACAAAACCATTGATCTTGCTTTAACTCTCTGTTTATTTATTTCTGTTGTTATCTTTATGTAAATCTACACAGGCCTGCAGGGACTTACCTGACAGGCAGAGCCATTTGTTTTTGTTCTAGATTGAATGAGGTTACAAAATAAAGCCCAAACTTTCTCTTTTGTATTGATGCAGAACAACCTACTAATATAGTGCCTATACAACTATAAAATCAAGTTTAATGGATGCAGCTTTTTTAATTTAAGGTTTGACCTTTTTCCTCTGACAGATGCAATGCACCGTTAGAAGTGATCATGGCCCTTCTTTTGCTCCCTGAAAACACAATACTAAATACAATTCTGATAATCATATGCACGAGCGCAAAAACTGTCATTGATTGGTCTCTTAAATCTGTTTCTTTTTTTTTTTTATCTTTAGGTGTATTTCAACAATTATGTACTTTTTGCTTCAGTCGTATTGAGATAGAATCACAGTTTTAGGGGTGCGGTGATTTATGGCCGATGACCGATGCGAATTCAGATTTTAACGAATAAAAATGAATTTTTTAAGAACAGCTGTTATAAATTTTATAATAAACCTTAAGTATTTCAATCTTATCTTATTGTTAAAAAATCGGAACAACAGTTAAAACCTGTTTTAACGGTTAAGATTGCTTTTACATCCCCAAAATTGGGGATATAAAGGATGATAAATCACTCTTATCTGCTATATCTAGGGTATCTGACGCTCTTCGGCTCTGCATGTCAATTAAAAAAAAAGAACTATTGCCCAGTTTTTTTGTGTCCCAATAAAAAACACTGAACCCACCCTGGTGAATTTGTTCTAGAACAACCACCGGGTGTCAGCGCCACAGTCGGTCACATTACTGACTTAAAATGTGTTCCATCTTGCTTGTAAGTCTTATATTGAGCTGTGAGGCACAACGCTGGGTCAGAATATTCAGGGTGTTCATTACATAGTATAACAATGACAGGCATATGAACATGTCTAAAAAAAAACCCTGCTGACACAAGCTTATTCCCAGGATGGTGATCCATCGACAGTGTCTAATCCATTTGCAGGTTCTCACCTCTATCAGCACGTCAGCTGCATCGTGTAGACACATGACCAGAGTTCCAACTCGTGCCATGTTGTTCACATATGAGAATACGATGAGAGAGATTGCTGCCACGTGGTGCAGGAACATGATCAGAAAATCCTGCAGAGACAGTTGCCAAGGAAATATCAGGCATTAGTGCATGTGTCACATGAATTCTGAATCCAATTACAGCCTTGAGATAATAATATCTTATATACTCTTGGTGTCTTCAGATCAATAAACATTTTGTGCAGAGTTGTTGAAAGGCCATTTTGCAGAGCAAGCAAAAATATTCACAACCCCTTAACCTTTTCAAACTCCCCTGTATCTTATTGAGATCTGAAGTGACAATCAAACAAAAAGTTGAGCTTATTTGTGAGTCGCAAAGAAATGATGCATGCTTTAGAAAATCTTTTACAAATTAAAATCTGGAAACCAGTGTACATATACTATCTTCAACTTCACTGGGTGAATTTAGGTTTAGTGTACCATTAAAGGGGTCATAGAATGCAAAACTGAGTTTACATTTTCATAGAATAATAATGATAGTTCAGTGGGTGAAAGGGACATAGAAGTTCAAACCCCATCAACACCTCCTTTCTCTACATACAGACCGGCCCACTGGTTCACTGGCCTTAGAACATGAATAGAGGTCACGAAGATATAAGACACCAGTTTAGCTGTTTAGTCAACAGTTGGGTTTAGTTCTACAAGAATTACAAAGCAGGCAGTTTCTCTATAGAAAATGAGCCAGAACCAATAAATGCAGTGTTCCAGGGTGCACGGAGAAAGAGGACATTTTTCACAGTCCCAATGATCCCATGGATCTGAAGACTCGACAGGAATGGATTATTTTTGTCTATCAGAAGATCCCTGCAAAGTTTGATGCTCAGCTGTTCATTTGGTGCCTGGGCGGACTGGGGCAGGGGGCCGACCGAGTTTGAGTGCCTGGTGTGTTTCCACTACGTGCGGCAATGTAGACGACCAAAATCCGGGACAATTTTGAAAATCCCACTTGACATTTTTTAAGGTATGAAAAGTAGGACATGTCCGGGAAAAAAAAGGATGTCTCGTCACCCTACCATATCAACAATTTCGATGTTTCAGTGAGTGAGTGCTTGTTGCTATGATGCATCTTTGCTCAGCAGCTTCACTCGTTGTGAACCAACCAATCAGCACAGCTCATCTAAATATTCATGAGCATACCATAAAAGGAAGAAAACCTGTCGTTTTATTCTGAGGCTTTTAACCAGGCTTGCATTAGGGCTCATGAAACAGTAAATATGTCATTTTCAGCCCAACCAATGTTACACACCCTATTCAGAGACCTTAAGGACCAGCACCAAATACCCTATATAATCATTCTATGACCCCTTTAAAACACACATAACATGTTCACACTGCAGGCCTTAATACTCAGTTCCGATTTTGTTTTTTAAATCCAATTTTTTTGCTGTTGCTGTTCACATTTCCAAATATATGCGACTTGTATGTGATCTCCTGTGTGAACTGCATTCTTACAATGCAAGTTCCCGCATGCGCAGTAGAGGACATAATGACACAATCACAAGCAAGAGTGCTCTGTGTTTACGCAAGTAAACATGGATAGTAGTGTTAGAGTGCAACTAGCGATCTTTCCCAACCTTAAAAACACAATCTTTTCAATATGGTTAAACATAAATACTGCTCTCCACATTACCATCCGCCATGGATTTTGTTTTGATTGCCTCTTCTGCGTAGCTGTTCAAACACAGGTCGTATTTGAAAAGATCAGATTCGTATTGCATTCAGGACCACATAGCCAAGTGGCCTGGGTCACATTGGAAAAAATCGGATCTGTGCTGTTCAGACTGTCATGAAAAGATCAGATACAGGTCGCATATGGGCAAAATGATTACGGTCATTTCAGGCTGCTGTGTGAACGTAGCCTAAGTCTAAAATCTTTCATGGCTTCACCATTTTCCTTCCATTTTTATCTTATATTTTCACATGCATTGGCTTTCTTAGTTTAACTCTTTCACAAATGACAAGCAATCATGACCTTAAGCAGTGGATTGCTGCAGCTCCTGTAGAGCTAACATTGGCCTCCTGTCAATTTAGGTGGTCGATTTGTGCTATCCTCTCTCTGCTTTTGGATAGTGGCTTTAACAGTGGTCTGCAAGACATTTAATGCTTTGGATATTGAAGAAAAGTATAATTCTATATTGTTAAATGTCTCAAGAACTTTCTTCCTGACCTGTCTGTGTTCCTTCATGTTATTACAGTCAGAAAAGTAAAATACAAAAACCTATAACACTTTACTTTTTTGGTTTTGCAAGAAAAAATACAAACTATATGTTCTTCATACCTCACAATTATAAGCTATTATTGCATTTGATTAAATTAAATTACAGTTAATTACAATAAAGTTTTTGTTGGCTATGTATAGCTACTTCAAAATTCCTAAATATCTAAAATTCAAGCAAGATTAGAAAGTATCTTATTTTAAAATGGCTTAAACTGATAAATACTGTTACTGAATATCAATTATTTAGTCCTACTGTAGCATGGGATAGCTTGAAGTGGAGCTCTATGAAATTAAATATGACATGTAAGAAATCCTCGTGCAATTTTTTTAGCTACTGAAAGGTCTTTAGCTGCAAGCACTGAGAAACAGTGTACCAGAGGTAAGGGATGAGGAGGAGGATGAAAAGGAAGAGAAGTGACACGACACGTAGAATGAAAACGAAGGCAAGAGTGTGCAGGGAAGAACATACTGGAACTGGCAGGAGATGCAGAGGACCCCTTCTCTGTGTAGAGCTGTGCATGAAAAAAACTGAAAGGAGAAACAAAAACAGAAACACATGCCAACAGTCAACAGCGAGATGACAGAGTAAAGGCAAAGAGCAGGGCATCATGGAGCCTGCTCTGAGCATGGGACGTGTCATGGAGAGGGCAGAGCTATGGAGGGAGTAAAGAGCATGGCATGCAAACAACAAATAAACCAAAAGTGTGTCCATTTTGACATAAAATGGACATGGAATGAAATGGGCTGGTAAACAGGAAAACATTTTTAGAAACTGACCAAGCTGGAACTGTTAATGAGTGTTATAGCTACATCATCCTACTAGATTTGCACAACTTAATGAAAATATTTAATCATCCAAATCTTAGTCTGTTGACTTGCAAATATCAAAGTGGCTGATTTAGGAATTTCAGTAATTCTCAAGCCTAAGAAAATATAATTTACCTCTTGGTTTATGTCAGTAGAAACCCAAAAATGTGAGTTACAGTCATGGAAAAAATATATTGCACCACCTTTATTTTCTTAAATTTCTTGTCCTAAAAGTATAATGCAACAAGCATGGCCAAAACAAGCAAACAAAAGAAGAGTGGGGTATTACAAAACAGACTTAAACAACTGGACATTCGCTGCTTTTTATTGAAGATGTTTCAACACCTATCCAGGAGTGTTTGTCAAGAGCAGAGCAATCTGTAGTTGGAGCTTCTGTGTTTTTGAGCAGCCTTAAGGCCTATCCTCCTAGGTACATCCTGAGTTGGATGTAAATCAATGACCAACCCTTCCTGGGTTGTTGGAGTCCTTTGTTGTGTATGTGTTATGTCTTAGGCCATTTGAATCATGCATGAGTGTGTTTATGTAACATCTTTGGAATGTGTTCCATGGCTGAATTGTGGATCCTGGTGCTCCTAGGTGCTACTAAATCCCCCCCCCCTCTGCAATGATGGCTTTACCCTTTTAACAATGATGGTTTCCTCCACCCCTCTTTCAAACTATCTGTCCTCTCTGTACAAAATCGAAACATTTTGGTCATAAATAGTTTTCTTGGTTATTGAGGTGCAAGTTTACAGCTGAATCTTGCCCGGAGGTACAGGTTCATCTGTGCTGTGCCATGTGTTTGTGCAGCTGTTGTTTGGTTTCTCAAGTGTCTGTACAGTCCTCGCTGAATTTACATGCCACTCAGCTTTTGTCTGGGTGTTCTGTCTTTGGGATGAGTAGGTTTTTGTTTGAAATTCATTGGTATATCACGTGTACACGACAAAAGACATCAATAACTGAGACAGGTGACAGGTTTGTCACTGATTTGCATCTGACTTGCAATGTGCTTAGAAGAATGAACCTCCATGCTGCTTAAAAACATCAGCACTCCAACTACAGATTGCTTTGGTTAGAGCTGACAATGACTCCTTGATAGGTGTGGAAACATCTTCAGAAAAACTAAGCCGAAGTCAGATTGCCTCTATTTTAAGCCTGTTCTGCAGTTGCCATGACTGAAAATGCACACAGGCATGTTGTCTAATAATGTTTCCAATGACTGTAGTGGTAAAGACACCAAAGGTCACAGGAGGAAGCATTGTAAGGACCAATATCAAATAAAAAAGAGGAATAAAAATGTGTATTTATTGATGTCCCTATTTCGAGATCGGATCGGCCCGATCTTTTCCTATTTTCCTGTGATCGGAGCTCGGCTACATTACCCGACTAGTCGCGCCGATCTTTACAGCAACTGCCGTAAAGTACCCACTAGTTACGGTTGACGGTAGTTGCGCGATACAAACATCTGCAGCAGTGCAAAGCAAGCATGTCAGAAGTATGGAAGTATTTTACTCTCACGAGTGAAGACTGTCCTAAAGCTACTTGCAATGTCTGCAACATGGCAATTTGAAGTAGCAGCAGAGCTACATTTAACACCACGAACTTGATTCTGAGGACAAAACATGAAAATGCATATGAAGCGTTTTGTAAAGCTGCAGATGGAAAGGTTGCTAAAGCAAATCAAAAAAACGCTGGACGTCATGAGGAGAGACAAATACTCCAACGAAAATAATAGAGCAAAGAAGATCTTCTTTTTACTTTTAACTAAAATATTAAATTGAAGCTGACCTTTAATTCTGGGTGAGATTTTTATTTCATGGGATTTACAATAATAATAGTAATGCTTTTTGATAAAATATTAGTCTAATAAAAAGTTGGGTTAAATATAAATATATCAAAATATATTTGAGTTTGATCAATTTCAATACTAAAGGCAAAATATCGGATCGGGACTCGAAATCGGATCGAATTTGAGGTTAAAATATCGAATAAGGATCGGAGGCCTAAAATGCTGATCGGGACATCCCTAGTATTTATTGCTACTGATATCATGACGTAACAATTTAATATATGGATGCGTTTAAAGATGGGCCAAAAAGAAGAGAGAGACTATCAGTGAATTATTACCTTAAAAAAATGTAAACAGCTCCAAATTAAATAAAGTCAGTGGAATCAGCTGGAAAGTGTTTAAGGAACCTTTGTATAGTGATATTAAAAGAAAAAGAAAAACATTTCTCTCTATTTTGCCATTTCTCACATGAGTAATTCAGGAGACTAACTTCTGCCCAAACAGACTCCACGTACATTTGTTAGCATACAAAAACAAAGAGCCAGTAACGGTTGGTAATTATGGAGATAATGTTATTTTCTAGAATGATTCATTTTAAAGTGGTCTACATTGTAGAAAGAGTGATGTGTATTTCAGAACCATTCTTACCTTCCTCCTGATGTCTGTGAATCGAGAAAAGAGTAATGACAGGTAGAAAGACAGCTCCAGTACGTAGTAATAATGGATGTCCACAGTCAGGGGCTGCAAACATACAGGAATGTCTTCAGTACATCTTAAATAGAATGAGATACCTTCCTGTAGAGTTGTTGATAATTATTAAGTTAACTTTTACCTGGTAAGGGTAGTTGTACCAGCATTCTTTAGTGTTCCACAGCCATGGGGTCTAAAAAAAATAAAGTGAAGAAAAAACATTGAACCTTATTTAAAATTCAACTGATTATCAGAGGTAAGAATGGCTTTAAAGTTGGGTTTATTTAGAAAAAAATATATAATACATTTGACAATTAATGCACATGACACTGCAATTTTATGCAGGGAAGAAGCTGGACTAAAAAGTCTACTATGGCATACCCTTAAATCCTGAGTAAATGTGTTACAAGCAGACTGTGACCCGTCACTGTGTTTTAGTTTAGTTCTCCTGCACTGCTCTCCAGACTCGCTCTATTAATAAATCCCACAGAGGCTGGAGGCTGGCGCCTGCAGCACCAACTGCTGGGGAGTGAGCTATTTTTCACATAGTGCTTTGTCATCCAACTTGTGTTTCAGGGATTTTTTTTTCCCCCAACTCTATCTCGACTGATTGCTGTTATGCATGCACTTTCATGAATATATGCATGGAATATGTGAAACCTCCTGAGCTCTATTTTGCAGTAATAATCAGTCGGCTGACTCATACTCAGATTTATCTCCTGTGGTTTATTGTTCTTAGCATTCAGCAGAATCAGCACCTGCCAGGTTCACTGACTAAAAAAACGAAGAGCTTTTTCTGGGACTACTTGGTTCTAATCCCCTTTGTTTTTTATTAACCTGTTCAAAAAATTTGAACACTGGTGCTGCTTTCAGAGATGGGAGCACAATTATTCAAAACTGTATTTTTGAATCCCTGACATTTAATTACATTTTAAAAAAGATTTTACTTGAAATAACTTTTCAAGTTTGAGCTATTTTGCAAAATAGCTCAAACTTAATCATACTGGATGGAGAGCATTTGAAAAGTTGTAATTCACAAGTCTTGTGACAGATTCTTAATACAATTTAGCCGTCTGTCAATTTAGTTTTCTGCAGGCTTTACCAGGCGTTCTTCCATGACTGTTTTATATTTAGTTCAGTCTTTCAATAAACTCTAACCAGATCTTCTTTGTCTCCTCTGAAGCAAAGCTTCAACAGAGCCTTATGCTGATTGATCCCCATTTTTAACTATGACAGATCCAAAATTTTAGTTTTACACCATGGAATAGTGTATATTGGCCAACAGATTTTTGAGCAGAGCACCCTTTTCCTCATGTCCTCTAAATGACTTTTGGTACACCTTAAATTTGATCCTTTTAGAGTTTCCACCCTGCCTCTCATCCATGAAGATGATATTCATATGAAGCTTGGCTAATACTTGTCCTGTTTATAGATTATTCAATCTGAGCTGTGTTGGTTTAGACTAATGTTTTGGTAAGTTTGCATGTGTGAAATACTCTTTCGTCACTTAGATGAAGTTGGGAAATGTTTAAAGTCAAGGATACTGATATGTACCTAACTTCCAAGCAAACCTCCTGCTAGAGAAAATCCATAAAATATCTGGATTAAATCTAAGTTTGAATGTAACATTGACTAAACTAAATTTAATGGGTTGATTCCAAGAAATAAAAAAATAGAAATCTCATGGGGTGGAATTACTTTCAAAAGGCCCCATATTTTTTTTTTTCTAGATTTAACAGTTAATCTAGAGACTAGATTCTATAATTCTATAATGACCTTACCTTTTTAAGAAAGCGCACTCCATAGGTAAATATATACAGGTAGAATGTAAATCGCCACCTAAAATTACAAAAAGAGAAAATGTATTGAGTATAAAAAAACATTTTCATGTTTACCTATTAATTAATCAATCTTAAAGTAATTACAAAATAATTTTGGTTATTCTTACAAGGCCATACTGGAATAATAATGAGAGGTTCTTATGCACTCGCTGAGCAAGATCTTCATTTTAGAGGTAGGGGAGCAAGGTGATCTCTGAGGGGCCCACAGACTATGAGATTTGTTTCTAAATTGTGATATTGAGTTTCTAAATGTTAGGTATATTTAAAGATATGGTGGAGAATTTTCAAGAATTTTTGAAAAAAAAACCCTACTCCTCAACTTAGAAAAAAAAATGCACATACACAACCCTGTACGTGCTCCCGGGAGGGAACACCTATTAAACGCATTTGAGAGCATGCATGAGTCTATTTCTCCTCGTGCACGCTCTGTTTGAAAGTTGCTGTTTGCATCGCTCATACAAGCTTACTTTTCAAAAGAAGATTTGCAATTTTTTCACTATGTCGGACTCACCACTGGTAAGTTAAAATGGGGACGAGCATGTAGGGCGGCCTTATGTAAACATATCACCAGAATGATTGACAATTAGGAAGACTTCTTTTGATGATCCACACGGAAAAAGAACATCCTCCATTATACCTTTAAGTAAATTTTAGGCACAAAGTAGATAGTGTGTGTGTTCGATTTTCCCTTTATAAACATTTAAACAAGTTGACCGTCATTGACAGCCATCATTGTGTCCGATGTGCCTTTCTATGCTCTGAGCAGTTCTGATCAAAGACCGGTGAGTCGCTGCCTGTCTTCCTTCGCTGTGAAGCTACAGGAACAAACCTCCTGCTGAGCAGAGCATCATGAACGGATTCTCTTGGAAGCTGTATAAGTGCCCAAAAGTTAAGATACAACAATACAGCCTCTTGCTGTGTTGAACTAATTGACTGTTTCTCCGAGTGACCAAGGTGGACATAAGATCCGCGGCCGGTAGGGTGAAGCCGTGCCAAAACAGCTGCTCATAACAGAAATGGACCAGAACCCATCCACCCATCCATTCTCCTCCAGTGAGAGCGCGACAAGTTAAAGATCTTTATCATTTAATGGGTATCTTGCCTGGACGAGTAAAATTGGTAATTAGATGCTATTTGGTTTATTAAAGGAGCTCCCGAAACTAATTGCGGAGGTTTATCACAAAAATTCGAATTGTGTGTTTTTAATGTTACAGCTGCCGTTCTCGTCTTATATTCTGTCATTTTCTTATGTGTGTTTTCTCTCGTTTGTCACTTAAAGGTGCCTGCCTTTTATGATCTAATAGTATTTTTATAACCCAGTTTTGACGCGGTCCGGCATCTTGCGGTTTCTGGCCTGTGATAACCATCCTAGGCTGTCTGCTAATGTACTGGGCTTTAGCTGATTGCAGTAGCAGGTTTGTTGCCAGTTTGCTAGCCATTATTCAGCTGCGTTGGTCGCTAAGCTATCGGTTGCCTTGGCAACAGAAGCATTGCATCCCCTACATAACCACTAGTTTTCATAAACATGTCAAGTCTGTCACATCCAATGCATTATGTTTACTGGTAATTGTTTATTATTGTATTAATTGAAACTTAAATTCTTTGACTTTCACCAAATATCATCGGCACACATCTGTTTGCTATATATAATTTCTACAACAAATCAACAGCTGAGACTCTACCTCAAGAACTCATTTGAACTGTTTATGTTTACTGATTCTTTCATGAATTCTGTGTTTTTTCAAGTAGTTTTTTACTGATTGCATAATTTATTAAAAATAATAATACCATGATAGGGTTTATTAGATTTAATAAACAAAGCGCCGTCTCTGTTTTAATTGTGGTAGTCTGGGATTATTTATACAGCAGTAAAAAGAGCAGAGGCTTCCTCTTTTGGTTAACAAATTGAATAGACAGAGGCAAATATTTTCCTTGTGGTTAATAATTAATAACTCTGCTTCACTTATAAACCAAGTTATTGACATTTACTGATGGTGAAGACATCTTGGATTTTAACAATCGGTCCAAAACGTCCAGCCACAAAGGTAAGCAGTTAATAAGACCTCATAATTAAACAAGTTGTCAGTGATAATCATTTAACCAAAGATAACTACTTTGTTTTACCTTTGATTTAAATGAACCTTTAACTGATGACAATTTCAGGTTATAGTAAATAATATATTCATAATCTCTCTGTTAAAATTTACAACAAAATATAAAACAATCTTGCATATACAAAATATACGATTGTTTCAACCTTTCCAGAGTGGTCACAGTTATCTCTATCCGTCCTCTGTTATGCTCCTCCTTCCAGTTTTCATTTCTCCTGCTGTCTTTTCCAATGAGTGGGAGAAAAGGTAAATGGTTTTAGCCATTAACCATTTTCTCCCACTCATTCTTCAGTGTGTGACTGATAATACTCCTTCTCTCTGATTTACTTACATTCACTGGCAAGTTCTTCCTCCTAGGATGGATTACAATTCTTTGTCAAACATAGCTCCATGGAAAGCAACTAGTCACATATAATCATGCTACTGTCACTAAGATCTTCTGTACTTTATACTTTTTTAAGTAGGAATCAAAAGCGTAACTTTTACTTTATCAGGTTTTGATTTAGAGATTTGACTCAGCTCCATTTGAAATCACAGTTGGTAATGTATAAAAAGTAAATAAAACAAAAGCAGTAATCAATTGACTGGCTTAGTGATCAGATCCCAAAAAGGAGGCACATCAATCAACCAATAGTGACTTAGAAGTAAAACTGGACTCTTCAGTTATTCTGCAGTGTAAACTTAATTGTTTTATACAGTAGAGATTGGAGCTACGTGAGCAACTGAAGGTAAGCATAAAACACTAATTTTCATCCTATTTTCTTGTGGTACGTGATGTGCTGAGTTTTTCTTTTTTTTTTATAATGTTCTTCCCAGATGTAATCAAAGCTACAGTACAAAATGCATCATTACCATTAATCAGCTGCATATTTAATCAATGCATGTAGAAATCATTAACTGAACAGTATCTGGTTGCATAGATTTGTTAAAATATTTTAACAATAATTGCAGAAATTGTTACCTTAATCTGATATTTGTGACAATATTTCGTACTGGTTTCAGAGTCAGCTCCTTAAAAAGTAAGGTAATAATGATAATCTTGGCAAAAAAAGATGGTATGAAGATCAGAACTGGCCTTTCTAGCATAGTCTTTATGTGCATCTTTTCAGCTGTGCTGTCCTGCTGTTTACTGCAAAGACAGTAAGAATTAATTCTAAAAATGATGAAAACCACGGTGTAGTATATTGATTAATCTTAAAGACTGATCATTTAAGAAGGCTAAATAAAATTTCAACAAAAAATTGTAAATATAAGTTCTAACTGGTACTGCTTGTTATAATCTATATTGTCTGAAGGTTAAAAACAGAAGATCAAGCACTTAGTTTAGAGTCAGTTATTTAAAAAAATGGCGAAATTGGGGGTTTGTTGGAAAAAAGATGGAATGAAGATGTGAGAAACAGGCTCTGAGGCAAAAGGATTTCAAAAAGAAGCTTCATACAGTAGATGTAGGTAATGATGCAGGTTTGTCGTGAGAGAGAAGGATGTTTTGATAGAGAAAATGTTTAGCTAACGAGCACTAAAGACAGTAGCAGACAAACATTTAAAATGTAAAGTTTGTCCAATCAAAAATACACATAATATCTCTTGAAGATTAATAATTATATCAATATTTTAGACCAAACTAGGCATCCTGGAGCTTGATCCATGTTTGTGGTAGAGAAATTGAAACACTGCATTAAAGTTATTCTTCTCTTACTTTAGTGAAGGTATTGACCACAGGGTCACAACAAGCTTGGAAGAATTTCTCTTGTTTTGCTCAGTGTCAAGCAGACAATCAGACGTTAGGGTCTCTATTAAAGCCATCCTAGTCAGAGTCTTCATAATGAGTCAGCTGCACAAAAGCCATACAGATGAGTAAATACATTATTTTTTCTTATATTTGCATTACTTGATTAAAGCTATATCTGATTATCTAAAGGCACTTTTGAATATTTAATGGCCAATTAAATATAAGTCCTTAAAAGTACATTTATTTTCATGTTAAAATTATTAATTTCTTGTTACATGTAAATGTATTCATTTTACATGGAATTTAAACCCTAAATATTGTTTAAGTAGAATTTTCTCAAAGTAGCTTAATACATATTTTTGGTACTATTCTGGAGGAATAGGGAGAAACAGTACCTTCAATCCCCCTGCAATGTATTTCTCTCCATGTGTTTTCCCATTAGGTCTTATTCTTTCTTTTCCTCATCTTAAAATCTTAATTCATAAAAGTTATGTTTTTAATCTTTATATTAACAACTCAAGTAAATCAATGTTAGAACAAGTTGTGCTGCACAGCACTAATTTATTCATAAACACACAATCAGTAGCATACTGGTTATATTTAGTAATGTTTTAGCTCTGCCTACTTTGTGCTTTAAATAACCCTGCATATACTTTTCTTTCTGCACAATGATGTGATCAAGAGTTCTGCTTGTTGAGCTTTACAAAGGATATACTGCTGCAGTGGGATCAAAGACTTGCTGACAGGGAAGACATGCCTACTTTATGAAGTCAGCTTTCAACAGTCAGCAAGACAGAATGGGAATTTAGGACCAAGAAGCAAAGCCAAATCTTTGTCTAAAGTCATGCAGGCTTCATCCAAATCAATCGAATTCAGTTAAAAAAATGTATGAATCTCAAAGGAAAAAGGGAAACACATTTTTCATCTACATGAAAAAAACCTTTAGGCAGATTATAGTATTAGCAGAGTTTGACATGTGAAAACTGCTTTATCATGCTCTTTTAAAGTTTTTCTTTTTTAAACAAAGATGTTCCAACAGATCCTAAAAAAAAATAAAAAATAGAGCAGCATGATTCCGTATTAAGAACAGATCCAGAGCAGGCAGACCTGGGATTTTTCTCTGGGTGTTAGAAATATTCACTTGCAAACTTTAAGATACCAGAAAAATAATCATCAAGATAACATACAACTGGCAGTAGAACCTCATCAGGCGATTTATGTGCTGATCAAAAGTATTGTAAATCAGAATTAAGTGGACGAGTGTACCTGGCACAGAGTAAAAGACCGTTGCATAGCAACTGGTTGAAGGAGCCTGCAAGAATTTTTTTAAATGCTGTTGAAATGCTGCCATGGACAAAATGAAGAAAATGAAAAAAAATCACAATGACTCACAAGTTGAAATAAAGTTTCTTAAGTCAACAACAGCTGTTTTTTTTTTTTTTTTTTTTTTTTTACATTTCTGAAACATATATATAATTTCATCTCAACCTCTTGAGATGAAATATTTCATTAATTTTACTCTAATCGGCACCGAACTAAGATATGCTGTTTAAGGCTTTTGAAGGTGAAAAATTTGCGATTATAGGCTACAAAAAAATTGCTTTATAAAACAACTTGCAAAATATTGCTTTAAAGAAAGAGAATAAAAAAGCATATCTAAAATGTTATAAAACAAATACTATTCTTCCAAAATACTAAATTATCTTAACAAGAAAATGCTCCAAATATTGAACTGAATTGTTTTAAACTCGGCTGAAAATGAGATTACATCATGGGGTAGGAGGTCAATTTCATTATGTACTTGTTCTGCTTAATGATGGAAAAAATACAAGTTGTAGCTTTCTTTTTAATTCTTGTTTCTCCAGCTGGGATTTAGGCGGTACTGACTAATTAGCTAATGGTTTGTTTTCTCATGACTCAACGTTTTATCTCTTGTTTGATTCATAATAAATGTGCAACAATAAAACAAAATTTGGTAGTTGCTTCAATTTTAATTTAAGCAGCAGACGGCACCTTTAGTTTCAAAGATATCTGACATTTCGCTTTAAAGAATCTTTAATCAGCTTGGAAAAACTAATTCAAAAATGAACCAATTTAAGTATATGTTGTTTATCTTCTATTCTCTCCCTAAAGATTATAAGACAGACAAATGGCTGTCATTGTTTACGAAATAGCGCTTTATGAACTCTTTCTAAAAAGTCACAGTGTTTTTAAGATTTTTGTGTTTATGTTTAACCTGCCTAAGTATTTTACATATAACAGAAAGACCAAAATATGTATTTATGTAACGTAAAATGGCAAAGATTTTAGCAAAATCAGAGATAATTTTTTTATATATCACATTTACACGACTACAATGCAAAGCCTTCCCTTTATCTTCATTTTTGATTTTCTATTTTATCCTGAAAGAAACCTGCAGCATGTTTCTTTCCAGAGTTGGGAACTTGATCTTTTTTACTTTTGCGCCATCAGGGGAAAAAAGACAAAAGCTTACAAACAAAAGCTCTTTGCACTGTCATCATTATTTCCTCTGTAAATATGCTTTCTACACACTGCCTGTTTGCACACATAAAAGAATACAAAACAGATCAGCTGTCTATACAGCAAAAGAGAATCCTATCGGTCTGGTGCAGCTGGGCATGAGAGCTTAATTACAGCACAATCGCTGCAGAAGGGACTGAAGCCAGCCTCATTTGGAGACCTACAACAACTGAGACAGACAACTTGAACAAACTATTGCAAACAGCAGAGGTGCCTGCTGTTAATTACACTGCAGATAACAGCATAAACGCAGGTGTTTCAACAGCCTGAAAGCATGTTTTGAAGTGATAAAAATCCACTTTCTTCTTGTGCAAGAGAATGCACAGCAACCTCTATGCTGTTTTAAAACAAGTCCAGTGGTCTAATCGGTAAGATGGTTTCTCCTGAGAGAGCAGCAGCCCCAGGCGGATCAGAGGATGGAGGCTCACACTGCCGGATTTGTTCCAATGGTGTTCGACATGACTCGGCTCTGACAGCAAAACTGGCTCTTTGGCATTTAACGTCACACTACTAAGTAACCACAATCTCCCTGATGGTGAACACATTACTACAGATTAGCTGGCTCTGTGTTAGCATCTTGAATGGCTTTGTGATCAATGGATTTAACCGTTATAACACGCTGGTTAACTGAGAGCTTTTGATTTTCTCTCAAAGGGCCAAAGAAGCATTTTAAAATCAAACGCTGTTAGCTGATTATTGAAACCTCTCAATCCACAGGGTATGTTTTGAAATTTGAAGAGCAAAGATACAAAATCTTTTACACATTTTATTTGATTGCTTTTTTCATTTTTTTTCCTTGTCATTCATGGACATTTAGGCCTGTAAAAACTTGCAATTATTTTTTTTCCCTCTTTACAAAGTTAACTGGTCTACCCCCTGAGTTATGCGTCTGGATTTACTTGTGGTAGAGTTTTTTGTTTGCTAAATATGTCTTTCAAAAAAGGAGAACTGTATTTCCATAACCACTACTTGAAAACAAATTGTGGTTTTGTTTTTTTGGCAATAAATTCATGTTTAAAAATGCTCTACATTTTTTTTCCTTAAGAATTTGTATTAAAACCGGTTTTCATTGATTGAGGTCCTGAATCTTCGATATATTGAGTGGATTTTATGACATATGACATCTAAGCGACCTTCTTGTTCCATTGGCAAAATTCTCTATAGTAAACTGTATGAAGGAATGGAAAATTACTGCAGTTTCTTGACTTTCAAACTAGGTTTAAAATGGGAGATATACCACAAAACTAAAAAGGTACAAAATGTTGATCTGAAAAATCAACTAGTAACTGATAACCTTCCTTTTATTCTAATACTGATGTGCTTTTGAGCTCCACGGTAGCACTGCTCCCTTGCAGCAAGAAGGTTCAAGGTTTGATTCCCGACCAGGGATCTTTCTGCATGGAGTTTGCATGTTCTCCCTGAGCATGCGTGGGTTCTCTCCGGGTACTCCGGCTTCCTCCCACAGTCGAAAAACATGACTGTTAGGTTAATTGGCTTCTCTAAATTATCCTTAGATGTGAGTGTGAGCGTGAATGGTTGTTAGTCCTTTGCAGAGATGGCAAAAGTACTCACTTTCCGTACTTGAGTAAAAGTACAGATACTTGTGTTAAAAAATACTCTGGTAAAAGTGGAAGTACTGATTAAACTTCTTTAGTCCAGTAAAAGTAACAAAGTACAGGCTTGTAAATTTACTTAAAGTATAAAAGTAAAAGTAGAAACCACTTTTTTCATGCCGTTGCCTACATTTTAAATGGATGTCTGCCAATAGGACTAGATCTCCGTTGTGTTCATTTTCAATCATCTCGTCGTCCATGCTACTATGCTAACGCCACCGCCACCAAGCTGCAATGATTTGCCGCCAATGAATACCGCCGAATCTGTCGATTCATCTTGTAGTGGTGCGTCAAATGCAACGTAGATTCCCATCCAATTAGATTGAATTTGGTATTGATGACGTGAAAAATAATAACGGTAACTCCATTGAAATTATTCAAAACTAAAGTAACGAGCCAATTTTTTCAAATGTAAGGAGTAGAAAGTACAGATATTTGTGTAAAAATGTAAGGAGTAGAAAGTACAGATATTTGTGTAAAAATGTAAGGAGTAGAAAGTACAGATATTTGTGTAAAAATGTAAGGAGTAGAAGTAAAAAGTCGCCATAAAAATAAGTAGTAAAGTAAAGTAAAAAATATCAGAAAAATCTACTTGAGTACAGTAACAAAGTATTTGTACTTCGTTACTTCCCATCTCTGGTCCTTTGTCTCTGTGTGGCCCTGTGATAGACTGGGACCTGTCCAGGGTGGACCCCGCCTCTCGCCCATTGACAGCTAGAGATAGGCAACATCCCCTCTCAAGCTCAGCAGGGTTAACCCTGAAGGAAAATGGATGGATGGATGATGTGCTTTCCAGACAAGGCTGGCAAGAAAACTTTTTCTCCTCTTTTCTTTGGACATTTAAAAGACCATAACCAATTTATCTACAGTAAATGGTTCCTTTTTCACCCTTGGCTTTCAGACAGTCACACAACTTACCTCTTCTCCTATAAAATGTGGAAGGGAACCTAAACCTGTTCTAGAAAAGGTTATCTATCATCCCTGCTTTTACTACAGCCACTGGCATTCCTACTGATGCATGACTGTGTAGCACGGCTTATTCAAATCAGCCCTCACTTAAACATCAGCTATAATAGTGAGCCAAAGCAAGGCACTAATGCAGCAATCAACATTATGCAGATATTTTGGTCATTGTGATTAGACTTCCTTGGCAGGTTACAAACCTATCCTCTGCTTTTAGTCAAACTAGGTGTTTATCCATGATAGCTTGCAGCTACTTTAGCAGAGATATGTCTTACATGCTTTCACAGAATCTTGCGAGGGTGCTCGGCTTCTCCTGGTTACGCCGCTGCCTAAACCAGCGCTGGATGGTGCGCACGTCCCAGTCGAGCTGCTTGGACAGGCCCTCCAGCCTCTTCTCATCTGGATGCTAATAAGAGAATTAAAATGTCGGGTTCACCTTTTCCATGAAGAAAAAATTTATTTAACATTTTCCGATCAAAATTAAAAGCTAATATCCTCACCTTGGTTATGGCAGTGAAAACCTTCTCTAAGATAGCATTGGGCTGTGCCTTTTGTGGCCCATTAGCCTGGATCTTCAGCCCCATTGCACATGGTCTGGCAATAAACCTGCAATAAAACACACATCACTGGATTTCAAAAGAAAGTTTTTTGAATGGAACAGCAGGTACCTCCTCAGATGCCTTAAAATTATTGTATAACCTTTAACATTTAATCTGTCAGAAGCTATAAACCTGATTAAAAACTTGAGTGTAATTGAAAGTAGAGCAGACAGAATGGCACCCTTGGTGGTAAGCCATAATTACCATATGGAAAAAAATTGCTTCCTATTGACAGAATGGTATGACACATCTATGTGTCTGAGTAATAATTTAGTCTTAGCCATTATGGTGTCTTTTATAATTTTTTTTTACTGTCGTTGTATATTAACAGAGAAAATACGTTTTATAGTTGATTTTTCAACCTATTGACTAAACATAGTCCTAACTTTCTTACTTCCTCAGTCTGTCTTGAAAAGATTCACACCAAATATGACAGCAGAACCATACAAGTCAGTCAGAAACAAACCTAGCTCCACCGTTCATTTATAATCTGTAATTTCTAAGTATGTCAGTGTTAGAACACAAAGGGCTTCAGTATTTTAGATTTTGAAACCGATCAAATATTATAGATTAATTAGATAATAATAGAAATGTCTTTTAATTTTGCCAAATTAGCAATGTTTAGCCTTTGAACAAGATTAGCAAACTATATATCGAGGAGACATGGGGAAAAAGATACAGGAACTTTGTCTTAGTGCAACTGACAGCTAACTTCTTTTTAAAGGTGCAAAAGCTGCCTTCTAAAGGAATTTGACCTTAAGCTTAGAGCAATATTTCTTATATCAATTGTAACCCCAATTATTAAAATGTATAGTAGTATAGATGGTTATTTGTTAAGATTAAAAATTATTAAGTAGGGAAACTTAAGTTTCCTGATTGTCCATTCATTCTTACTGTTCATATGTCTTAATAATTTATGACAACTCTTTTGCAGTTGCTTATTAAGACCACTGATTATCCTTCCTGACTCTGGGTCTGTTTAAAAAAAAAAACCCTGCAGACTGCAGAGCATTAGATAAACAAATATTCCTCGCCTTAGATTTATCTTCTAAATATTAAAGGTACATATGGGCTAATTTGGGCAGGCATAAGATAGGCCCCAGATTAGATTGTTATACAAATAATATAAGTGATCTGTGTTAATTGACTATATTAATTGGATGCTGGACATGTCTGGATTCAAATTAGAACCATATGGTTCCTTCATGTGCTGCACAAGGTAAATAAATATTCCTTTTAGCTTTTCAAAACCTTGCAGACCTTTAGTGTCCAACCCAGTTTGGTTACATTCACTATGTGCCCTACTTAGTATCCATTACCCTGTGACCTACATACAAATTTTAGCTGCATAATAAACAGTGTCATTAAAATATATTTTTCAAGAAATCTCCATTTTGCTGTGATTGGTGGGAAATGGACTAAGGAGATAAATTCTGATCTTGACCCCATATAATCCTGAGGTTTAACTCAGATCTGAGGCCTTAATGACTGCTTACTATAATTATAATAGCTTTGATCACAACTATAATCCATACAGATGATTCTACAGCAAAAAAAATAATATATTAGACAAAATATGAAGCAAATCTGGCCTGTATGTAATAGTTGAAGGAGGCTGTTTATTGTTTTGCTTAAAACAGGTTTGGTTTGCAAGGACAGGTCTGACAGAGAGAGGATCAAAGGCAAACCAGGCTGCAGGCCTGCAGGAGAAGGATGATGATTTGTGAGCTAAGCAGATAAGATGTCATTGTTTAGGGGGGGAGGAGGAAACAGACAGCGGCGCAACAAAAGCGCATCTCCATCAGCACCTGCCTCCTCCAGCCCGTCAGCTCAGAACCCACCTCTCAAACACCAGCCGAATCATAAAGATGCAGAAAGCCAGAGGACACGCCAGGTAGAGATCCTCTGCTTGCGGGAACGTCGCCTCCTCTGTGTTTTTTAAGTCAGCCCAGGTCACATTATGGGGGAGCCAGAAGCGCTCGTTCCAGAACCACGCCAGAATCCCGGCCATCTCCCTGCTGCAGACACGATCCAGCAACGGAGGCTCTCTGTCTGTCTCTGTCTCTCTGTCTGCGGAGCTCTGTGTCCGACTCGGCTGATGAGGAGATATCTGGTGCGACCGCCGTCCGTCCGCTTCCCTTCAGCTGTTCCAGTGTAGGGAAGTAGCCTCAATCAGCTCCTCAGCAACTGATTGGTGCGTTCAAATGTCAATGCAATGGCCTATATTACAGCAATAATCCTACTACATTAAATATAATAACCTCCTTTGCATAGACCTGCCTCTTTTGCTCCCACGCTTCATCATTTATAAACTCGTCAGATTGTTAATCATTTAAAGCAAAGATGCGTAGCAGAGATATAAAGGATGGTTTGTCAAACTCTGCCACCTACTGGTCATCATGAGATAGTACAGTACATTTCTGTTTTTTTTATTATTTTGCATAAAGTTTTTCCTTGGTCTTTGTGTTTGAAAGGAAAATAATTTCTGACATTACTAGTATTAACGGGCTGTTGACAGGTAATAATATATTATTTGTCTCCTAAGAAATCTTTAAGTCATATTATA